TAAAGCGTGAATGACGCTCTGTATACGATTTTAACGCCCTATAAGTTCGGACACTTTTTAGCGCGGACCCGATGTCCATATAATTGTACGTCAATGATGTCTACAAATTTAGGCAACTGATTTTGGCCAAAAAATTTAAGGTAAAAGTAAAAATGTGCAGATGGATATAACGAAATGTTTAATTATTAACTTGTAGCTCGATATTTCTAATAAACACTACAAAAGAATTAGAGATTCAACAATAAGAAGAGAACAAAACTAATTTAATCTGTCAAAACGCGACTGTCCGCTGTCACACTATATCCTTTATGTAATGTATAGATCATTGGATAGTATTACATGATCAGCTAGACACAAACCACGAACTCTCCTATCTAAAAAAGACAAACTGAGCTCAATCATTTTTAAGATGTATTTAAATTGTTTTTGAAGATTGTCGATGGTTTTGGTAATTTCAAAACAATATTACTTTAACCTTTCATTGACTTTTCGTACCATGACACGCTTAATGTAAGCTTATTATAATGTTAAAACTATGATGTTTTATTGGGAGCTTTGTGACTATTAATTACGTTCATTATTAAGTACTTTAACATTATACTACGATAGGACGATTCGGAACATCAAAAAAGAAAGAGATGGCATTATATTACTTCAAATAGCGTTATTTCTTTCCTATTTGCAGTAAGGAATAGATAATATTGGGGAATCATTCGTTCTTTCAGTCACTTTAGCAATAATACATTACTTGGTTGATAGGTTTGTCAAAGTACGAATATGAATAATATTATAATAAGCTTACTTTAGGCTTACATTGAAATAAGATTGTTTTTTGAAAGGTTTATGTGTAAAGGTGTACAATTGAAGTTACCTATAAAACTATATTTAACACCGTTTCCTGGTTTGACAGTATTGGTTGAGCTACTTAGCTTTTGTCGATGTGACAGTGGTATTTAATACAGTTGCCTAACACAGTGCTATTTACATTATATTGCAAATCTACACATTTCTACTTCCTTACTGATTGATTTGAAAGATAATGTTCCCTTTTCGTCTGTAAATAAAGAGAAATGCGAAAATCGTATGCAAATTTCAACTTTTCGTTGTCATTATCACAATTGCAAAGATTTTGCAAGGAAATGAAGTTTTTGCATATATAATAAACAAAAATCGTGTTACATGGCGTAGTCAACAACACTAGTGTGTAAAGGGCGAAAGAGTTCCAAATGAAAGTTGTTACACATTTAATAACTATAATTTTATTTTATTCAACAAGCAAACAACATTATACGACAAATAAATTTAAGAAATCAGTTTCATTTATTATGATTTTTCAAAACACTAGAATTCGACGAAATTATTTATTTATAAATTAATTTAAAAAATGCATTGAGGCGTGCATGAACTGAGGCTACAACTGTCGGTTGCTTAACTTACTTCCTTCATTTTAACCGCCAAGCAAACCTAAATGGAAAATTTAAGTGTCTAGATGTATTGTAGAAGTACTTTCTACTAAGGAATGAATTTGAAGGACTAGAATTTAGTTTAAATTATTGTTTCCTATCCTAAGTTTATTTTCATTTTATTACTTATTCATACAAGTCACCCAAGGCACTGTTAAAACAAGCAGACACGTTACTTATCATGAATTGGTTGTATCTGGTGTATGGTAGTTACTTCGTAAGGTATTTATTGCATAAATGCTACGTAAGTGTACACGTGTGCAAATGAGTAGAATTTGGGTTTTTACACGCCCAAATATAAATATTGTGTATGTGAAACCTAACATTAACTAAATCTATCCATTTCTTTAAAACTAATCAAAGAATACATTAAAGAATTAACTATTTTTAAACATTAATTTTTGGTGTTAAAAAAACTCTGATCATCACGAATACACTTGCTGTAAAATAACAGTAAATTGCATTCACTATAATTGCAGTCTTAAAATAACAATGAACAATTAAAATATAATAAAATATGTAATAAATCTCAATTTAACAAAATTAAACTCATAAAACGAACAATACATGTGTAATACCTAAAATTTATTATTCGCTACGAAGTGCCGATGCGCGATAATGTTAATAATCATTTTTTGCGGATGCGCCGGCACAGTATCAGGTTTATGCCTTAGCTACCTGTGCATAAGTACAGCATGCTGGTATTTGACGAAAGCAATGGCTGCTAATTCCTTGCAGAATTCCTCGAGGACAATGAGACTTTCAACGAGCTGGTTATGGTCGTCTCTGAAAAAAAAAAGGAAAGTGCGGTCGCTTTAAGATGTTTTAACAGCTTAACACTTTATTTTTCAATGTAATTTTATTTTTATCTTTCATAAAATGTTTAATAAATAGAATTGCGTTGACATATTTACAGCAATCAAGTATTTAATTCGATCTTATTTACCAATAATTTCAATAAAATTTCAGTACCTTAATGAGTAATTTGGATTTATTATTATTTTAAAGTTTTTATTTTTATCTGAATATGTATTGAGCGATTTGGATACATTTAATTGGCTTAAAAACTGTGGCTTATAAAATTTTGTTTATTTTTTTAATGTGTGTGCTAAATAAATAAATAAATAAATAAAAAATTTACAAGAGATTTCCATTTTTGTAATTTTATTTATTTATTTATTTATTTATTAAGGTTCATCAACAATTGTTACAACAAATACATTATGAGTGGTTTCTATTCTAGGGTTTATACTAATTGCACAATTTTTAACAGATGAACACCACGTGCAAGTAAATTAGTGAATTCAAAAAAGTAGTCCGCGAAGGGCTAGACTCGTATTTAAGTATTTACTTAAATAGTAAACAATATTATTAAAAGAAAAACAAAAAATTTTTGAAAGTTTAAAGAAAATTAGGTCACGATGATGTAATCGATCGACGGAATTTAACCAAAGAGTCGTGAAATATATCTAAATTATTGATATTAACGATAAAATGGTTATACAAGCTGCATAGACGAGGTACTGGCGAGTTGCGACCCGCTACTGTCCTGCGAATTGGCGTCGAAAAGAGAGCTTTAATTCTATGACGGGGATATCTATGCGGCACTTTAAGTTTGAATTGGCTCCTTAGAGTGAAGAACAATTTATTTTGTAACGGATAATTTTGTATAGAAAAATCATATCTAATGTGTGTCTACGTTTGTTAAGGTTAACCATTTTAAACATTTTTAACCTGCTATCGTACGAACGTATTCTTTGCGCTACACCCGATGAAAACGACAAATGCCACATAAACCTTTTCTGGATCCTTTCGATTCTCAACATGTGGTTCGCGTACTGAGGACGCCAAATCACTGACCCATATTCGAGAATGCTTCGCACTAAGCAGTTGTACATTATTATTTTTGTAGCGGGTTTACGGAATTCCTTGACGTTACGATTTATTGCAGATATAAATAAATAAGCCGTGGTAGCCCAATAGTTTGACCTACCGACTCTCGAGCAAAGGCAGTGAGTTCGAATTCGGGTTCGCAAGTATTTATTTAGCAATGCAGAATAATAATTTTTATTTATAAAAACTTGTATTTAAAATGAATCCTTTTCTATTTTGCGAAACCAAATAGCCGCCATTTTGCGGTAGGAGGAGCGCATCGCGTGAGCGGCTAAGAGGAGACCGATTCCCAGCAGTGGAACGTATAAACGGTTTAATGATAATAAACGGAAAACGTACCTTTCATCGTAACTGGGATCTTCGCTCATTAATTGCAGCCTTGTGTTTTCTATTAATTTCTTATAATTTCTCAGCCTTGGTATCTCCATCGTCAGCCGTTTTGCCACATCTTGGAGAATTTTGAACAAAGTCCGCGTATTCTTTGCCGTCGGCATCATCGGGTTTAGGAGGTATTCGTGCAAATTAGGATGTGGCAGTAGCGCCAACTTCGATATGATAGACGTCAGGTGTAAGTTAACCTGATAAGGCTGCCCAGGCATGTTGGCTAGCAACTTGAAGAGCATTTTCAAAAACGGCCCTTCGTCAAATTCTTCGTCATCCGATCTCGACGTCGTGTCACGACTCCTGATTATGAGCCGTTGGGAAAAGCACTCGTTGTTACATTTGTCATCCTTGACATTTTGTGGGCAACATCGTTGACCGTCGGATGGCGTTTTGGCCGACTCAAAAACTTCATCCAAGTGTAGGTCGGCTTCTGGGCGACTGTCGTAGCTGTGCGTAGAGCTGGTGGTGTTGTCGCTGTATTGCTCCGACGGCCAGTTGAAAGATGATGTCGTATCCAACCACAACTGAAAACGCATGTTGTTTTGGCATTCATTACAGGGCTTTCCACGGCTATGGAACATTGTGGGAAAGTACTTGAAATATTATACATACTTTGCTTCATGAAGAAATTATTTTATGGGATAATATTTTTTTTTTATATATAATAGACACACGCTTGGCCACAATCTCACCTGATGTTAAGCGACGATGTGACCGACGATGGGATGGGATGGGATTATTATTATTATTATTATTATTATTATTACGATTATTTAATCCTCAAAGATATATTTGATCTATTGTAAATATGCACTTTTTTAAATAAACTATATTTTTTACCTTTGATTATGTACTCCCGGACGCATGATTCGAGTCACCTCGCATTTTTGTCATTAAGGGCTAGAATCCAAGAATAGTGTATTCATCGAAGAAAGTTTTCCCCCGATTTCGCAAATCCAAATTCCCAACACGGGCTTATGGAAGAGACGTTTAGTATATTAGTTTCAAAATTGCATAATAGTTTTTGATCAATCAAACATTGTTTGAACATGTTTGATGACACTTAATACTGCAAACGCGTGGTGGCTCGAATTATGTGTCCGGAAGTGTATATATTAACTGTTCCATCTATATTAGTTGATCTACAGATAAATTACAAATAAATTGCATTTAAGGTAACTAAAGCTTCAATCATGTGGCGATTTCAAGTATAATTTGCACATTTATCAAATCAAATAAAAATCAAATCATTTTATTCGTCATCATGGGTACAATAAAGATGATAACATTTATTTTATGATTACCATCAAGGCATACGAATTATACTATTATTATTAATTATACTGGTCCAATACTTCCAAATAATAAAATAACAGCACTGACTTACAATTATATGGACGTCGGGTCCGCGCTAAAAAGTGTCCGAACTTATAGGGCGTTAAAATCGTATACAGAGCGTCATTCACGCTTTAGTCTTCGCTTGTTCGACTGACAGCGAAGCAAGCAAAATGAGACAGTACTGCGATGACATTACAATTTAAATTCAACGTTTTAGCTTTTCCATATTCCTTTACATGTCACTACGCTTAAATAGGTTGACTTGAGACATTTTTTTCGTGGTTTTTGTATTAGACCCGTCGTCCATTTATTTGTAAGTCAATGTTTAATTAAGATAATAATCAATGTAAATAAATCAATGTCATACAGTCACGTTCGTCTCAATAATAAATTAATTAATGAGAAATTAGTTAGCAAAATTCCTTTAATGTATAAAATGTTTTTTCAATTAAATACTCAAATAATGTGCGTTTAAATTCCGCGAAATTTTCATTCTGCCTTACCTGTAATGGCAATTTATTATAGATTTTTGGTGCCATTGCAATTATACTCTTTATGAAATAAACATTATGTGAGTTTGAGCATGAACTGACCAGGTTATTTCACGTTTGTTCGGTTCAACTTCCAGATTAGGCAAGCAAGTTTTTAAGTCTTTACGATATTATTTTTTTTTGTGAAATTACTGCACTACTTTGTTTTAATTATTAATACAAAGATCGAACACTCAGAAAAATTTCTTCGATTCAAACCAGCGCCTTTAATCAATCCGTGCCAAACGTTCCGTAGCTCAGTTGGGAGAGCCCAACTGAGCTACGGAACGAATCAACAGTCCTTACGAGTCTTTCTGCTTATTGCAGATCTTTGTTACTCGATTCCACTCGGCCATTATTACTACATACCGTATTACTTAGTTTTAAAAATAAAATAATGTAATCATGAAGCAGAATATCCTATCTAAAATATTTAAAGCATTTTCCCTCCGCCTACCATAGCCGTGGTATGCGTCCGCCGACCAACTCAAAATCGATGATCATTTTGAAACTATTGCAGGCATCAGATTGGTTTTTATTTTAAACGGCTTAAAAAAGGAGGTATTCAACTCGTTTTTTGTATGCGACGTTTGTGAACCGATTTCAATTATTCTTTTTTTGGTGGAAAGGGGGTACCTTAGTTGTGCTCCCATTAATATTTGACGGAAATATTCCACCTCTAAGGGTGGCAAATTGGGGAATGAATCCGGCGCATTAGATTTCACCCACTTTGTGTTAACCGATTTTAAATAAACTCGGCAAATTGTTGGATGCTGATATGCAATAAAGTATCAACCAACAAGATCATAGTTTTACGAAAATAGCACCAAAAGATTTTTCAGTTGTTTTTTTTAGTTTGTTTTAAAATTTACTTGTAAAATGAAAACTTTTCCTGTTGTCACCTTAGGAATGACGAATTGTCGTGATTTTTACTATAATTCCCCAACAACAACAATATCAAGCACAACAGCAGAAGTTTTCATTTATTAAGTAAATTTTAGAAAATTTAATTATAAACGACGAGAAAATATTTAGATGCCATTTTTGCAAAATTTTGATCATGTTGGTTGTGACATTAGTGCTTATCAGCATCCAGATGTAATTCCACAAACTTTTGATGTCGGGTTTTTTTTATATAAAAAGAAGTTATAAAAGCGGTTACACACGGTGTCTATGAGCACCGATGCAAGCGCGCGACTGCACCGATACAAACGCGCGATGCGTCACTACAGTTGGGTTTTATATGCTGCTAAAAGTCCCCGTCCAATAAACTTTTTATCACATGACTGTGCGGCGCTACTTGTGGATGACCACCAAGAAAGCGGAATAGGAATCGCTCGCTGAAATAGGCACGTGCTCCTAGGTACCTGATAATGTCTATGTGCGTCATGTATGTAGTGTTCGTAGTCTGCGCCCACCGGGTCGGAAAGAATAGCGCGCGGCAGCAACAGCAGAAAACTGTAAGAGAAAGGGCAGACTAAATAAAACCAGCAAATTTTATCACAACGCTTTAATAACCCATATATAATTACAACAAACAAACAATACCTTAACAATAAAAATCATCTAAAATCACAAACGTGCAACGTTCACGTAATACATAAGGTATCACCAAATTGAGATTTCTTTTCTGATTTTAAATCCTCTGATCGCGTACTGGAAACTGATAACCTTTAATGTGTATCGCAATATCAGTTTCATCTATTACATAATGTTTTTTGTCGCATTCGATTGCGCGATCTCAGTTGACTAAGACACATGCCGTTTTATTCCACTCTGATCATGCAAATGTCCTATTTTCGCAAAATGACAACTGCTCAGTTTCTTGTTTACAAACAGACTTGTACTCATTTTAACTATCGAATTAAAGTTGGTATAATGATTAAACTCACATGCAATATATCTATAACATAATTATATATATATTATAGTACTACCCACACAAGTGTATACTCACGTTGTTAATGCATCTCGAGATAATTCTGATATTTACGTTTTCTAAACAACAAAAGTATGGCATTTGAAAAAGAACATAACTATACTTCCACTTCAAACTCAAATGTTTTGTCATGTTTGAAAAGAGTGGAATAAAACGGCATCTGTGTCTTAGTAAACTCAGATCGCGCGATCGGATGCGACAAAAATAAAAATTATACATCTATATGAAACTGACATCGCGATCAGAGTACACATTGAAGGTTATCAGTTTCCACTACCAACCGATCACGCGATCAAAGTAGACATACTCTGGAAAAGTATCACACGCTGTCATTGCACTCTCGGTTTGTGTCAATGGCACGTTTACATTACGGCAAAATTCAGCTTCCTATCTCTTGAAATGACTTTGTATTATTAATATGTAGGAAAATATATACTCTGCAGTGAATGTCGAAACAACATTCAATTTACAAGTTCAAATAATATAAGTACAAAAGCTCAATTTTTACAACTCGATGTAATAAGGTAACTTATGTTTTATCTTATTAACTACTTATTTAAATACAGCGAGGGGAATACCCAGTATCAAAACTCGAGTGATAATTACATTCATATTAAAGTCTCTTCGTTTCGTGGAATATTTTGCACAGTTTGGTCGTAAAAGCATTCTAAGGTGAAACTTTGCCATATACAATTGAATGAGGGACAATTTTCAGGTTAGCTTTATCTACCTAATTTCGGTGGCAATAACTGTAATTTAAATATCGTAGAATATTATTTCGTCGTCTTACTTTCTCAAACTTGTATCTCAAAGCAGAAAGCAGCTGAAGTGCAACAAAATCGTATTGCAATACAAATTTGCAGGCTTATTTCACATCATATTTACACACTGGCTATTATCTATTCTTAAAATAATGCACCTAAATTAACACTACTGATAAGAAATTGCCATCATGTGAATAATCACTGTTCGTAAGATACGTGATTGAGAAAGTACCGCATCGATTTAGTTTAGTTTAGTTTAGTTGCACTGAGTCGCTTAATCGCTTCATCTTTAGAATACAGTAGGACAAAAGAGTGAGCCGTCTCGCTAACGCACGTGCTATCTGTATAGTGCTAACAACTAGTTTAAACACTTTTATTGGCACTTAATTCTAAACTTGATAATCTTTATATGGAACTAACTCTGTTGAATCAGTATGAATAGAGTCGCCATTCGGTATTTTACGGTACCTACTGTTAAAAAAAACTACCTGTTAAGTAACGAAATATTTGTAAACTAGAAATCAGAAAAAGCATTTAGCGCACACGTGACTGGACCGAGATCGTTAAATTCGTGTACGCTTTAAGTAAAAGAAGAGCAAGAAATATTGTTAATGGTTTTATTAACTTATTGTAATAGAAAGTAGAAAGGACAAGCCGTTCTAAGAGATAACATTCATTAGTGCAAACAAATATTTCTTCAACTATATCTGGAATATTATTTAATATTTCACGATGAATCGAATACTTAAATAATAAAAACAGCCACTGAAATTTGGCGGAGAAAAATAACGTGAAAATTACCTAGTAAAACAATATTAAATTATAGTAATAAAACACTGGTTGAAAATTAGTTATACCTAAGTAGTGAAATTTGAGAATTTGCGAATTCAACATAATTAAAATTTAAGTAAATTTTGTGAAAACCGTTGGACTGGATCTGTTATTTGATAGACCTAATACTATCCACAAATTGTACTGTCTATATTATGTCCAAAATGTAAACAAAGAAGATAACCGAGCAGAAAAATGCATTTGAAATGGTAGTTTTTTATTTTTGACGACAATAAACGTTTAGAACTCATTTCAAGCTGTAATCTGATAGAATTTAGAACATTTTGCAATATAATATATATTTTACATAATTTCGTTTAAAACAATAATTATAATAAAAGGTTATGTATAAGACCGTAAATAATTTTATGAGACTGGTAACATAATCGGGAACAAGAACATTTGTGTCGCCATTTTGTCGTGTCAAAGTTGTCATTCGTTTCTCAAACTCGAATGTTTTTTTTATCTTCGTAGTGCGATTGTTATATTATTGTGGGTTATTGTTAAAGCTTTTGTTTATTGTTAATATTTTGTTACAGATATTAAGTTACGATTTCGTTAAAAATACAATGTTTATAGTCCGTACAACAATTTATTTTACTTTTGACAGCTCGACTACTAATCAATTAGTGACGTCCTAATGCGTTACCGATTCGATTTCTTACAACAATCGATTTTATTTATTAATCGTAATTTGAATTCGTTGAATAACAATAGTTTATAAAGTAAAAAAAGTTTGAATCCATTTACATTAACATTTTCAACATTATATTAGATATTACGAAATGGGGTAACGTGCCGTCGGCGGAACAGTAAAGCATTAGAATTTATTAGACAGACACCAAAACATATATAACGGAAATGTCAACTTGAATAATCATAGTTCCACAATCTGTCAGCTTGATAAATATCGAAATCGGAGCTAAAGAGCACGTCGCATCACTATAGTAAAGAAAAAACAGAGTCCATGAAGTATTGCATTTTTTTATCTATGACTGCTTGTCAATAACTATGGAACTTCATGGGCACGCTTATGGCAAAAGTATAATAAATGGTTGGATGGGGCATACAACACCTGCATTCAAACTTTGGCAGTGATATTACTTTGTTTACATATTGGAAATTTAATTATTATTCATACTATAGGTATAATGCATTACCAACCTAAGTGTCTCATAGTCCCTTTTACCGCGGATATAGTTAATTAGCATGACAAAATTTAGTTAAATTGCAAATATCCAGTCTTTACGTTTTCGCGGTTGTTACATGTTGAAAATAATAACAATGTTACAACCATACTAATTGCATGTTCTCAGGAAATTTCCCCTGTGATTATCAGAATCACGGAATTCACTCTGGGGCACTTCTCAGAACACCCAGATCAGAACCACTTTAGAAAAATTATATATCCCAATTTGATTCTACCGGGAATCGAACCCGAGACCTCCACAGTGCAAACCGTCAGGTCGTCAAATGAAATTAAACTATTTTTTCGGATCGCGTGTATTTTGTTTTTACAAAGAGACTTCGAGTTCATTACAGGTCAGCAGCCGTGACCATGCGCCTGTAAAGGGCTCAAAGTGTTAGTAGGTTGAAAAACCAAATATCCGAAAAGAAATCCTAATGAATAAATTTAATAGAATTAATGTTAGATACCCTTTGCAATGTCCCTAGATAGAAGCTAAAGTTAAAATTAAATTATATTTCATACGAGCTGGATGTCAGAGTACTTAAAAGACAAACACTGAGCTTAGATTATGGAAGTTATTGCGGTGGCGAGTCGGCGTGTTTGAGTGACATTTCCTCGGCCATAATCTCTTCTATGCGCGATTTGAGTTGCTCTAGCCTAAAATGTGAGTAAGCGAATTAGAAGAGCTGAGCAAGCGGTAAGTATATTGTAAATGTAATGAGAATGAAGTCTTTTTTTAAATTTCGTTCAGATACCAAGCAAATCCATAATTGCGGCTTTCAGGTACCCATATTATTCGAGCAAGTGGACAATTTAGTATTTCAGATTACTAGACTTGAATGTACAATTAAGATTAATTTTTAATTAGTAATTTCATTTCAAGAGTGCAAACTATCAATCTAAAAACGAGTGGTCAGGAACCGTAGAAAGGGTGATAAGCGACGGTGTAAGGAGGTCACATCGTCACAAAAAAACCCTTTCACGTATATTTCCAAGATTTCGACTTGATATCTAATCATTGTTTCCAACAATATTCATTGAATAACAACTTCAAGTCGTATTTGAAAAATGTTAGTCCAAAAGAGAAGTTATTTTTAAAATGCAGAAGTATGTAATCTATGGCTTCGTAGTGCTATACGAAAACAAATGGAATATTTCAATTACAATCTATCCAGTAGCTAAACATAAGAATTTGAACGAATATTTGAAAAAGAACTGCTTCAATTAAACAAATCGATTCATGCAATTAATTAATTGATCTGTATTTGGCATGGCAGAACAATGGACCATCACTAAACTGTCTACGGACGGGTCAGTGACTTGTTTTTTTTGTATAATGGATTGAAACGGACTATAATTTTCATATTGGGACACCTCTAATTGGATAAGGCGCAGTAGTGTTGAGGCTTAGGTGCCCATATACCGACAATTCTTCGTTTTGATCAATCGTCATAATCGTGTGATTTGTTAACGACTTAATATGCACTATCGATTCGTCGTTTCGATAAGATTAAAACGACAGATCAATTCCTGTCGTGGCTCAAAATTGTGGAATCAGGAAAATACGATTTATAAATGTATTATTCCCAGTACGATCCATCAATCTCAATTCCACCAAGTTTTGAGTTTCGGCAGTTTTTGGTTTCAAGTGCGATATATCGTCCTGTATGATATCACTCATTGGGGAGTTGAAACGTGGCATTTTATTTATCACCTGCCTACATTGACTTACAATTATATGGACATCGGGTCCGCGCTAAAAAGTGTCCGAACTTATAGGGCGTTAAAATCGTATACAGAGCGTCATTCACGCTTTAGTCTTCGTTTGTTCGACTGACAGCGAAGCAAGCAAAATTAGACAGTACTGCGATGGCATTACAATTTAAATTCAACGTTTTAGATTTGTCATATTCCTTGACATGTCTCTACGTTTAAATAGGTTGACTTGGGACATTTTTTTCGTGGTTTTTGTATTAGACCCGTCGTCCATTTATTTGTAAGTCAATGCCTGCCTAAATATAAATAAAATGAAAAAAAAAAAACTTGTTTGTATATAATTAAACACAATTCGAAAACTAATTTTGCGGAAATAGACAAAATAAGATTTAAAAAATCGTGGCACAAGCCACTGCAACTTATGTATCGTTTGTCACCGCACTACGAGTGGCGCACTTCGCAACTGTCAACTATTACTGCCGTCCACGAGTTAAAATACGGCTAAGTGATAAATGGTTTTTACAAAATTACCCTAACGATGCATAGCTGAAAATAATATCATAAAACAATTTCAATATTCTAAAATTGGGTTACGATTTTTATGATATTTCAAAAAAATATATTTTCACTTCGCCGCGTTTTAGTTAAGGGTTGGCAGATTATTCTTCCTATATTATTTCGACATTAAATATATCGTAATTCTATATATTATTCCTAACATTTTTTTATAAACTTCACTTGATAGTGACGGGACTAACAAGTCACTAACAAGTCGTGCGCCTGATGGTAAGATAGACGCCTGTTCATAACAGTTGCAGTGCCACTCAGAGCTTTAAATCGCGAAGATCTAAGGGGCACTCCCACTGCGTCCATCACCCTGAGACATAAGTTGACAAGTCCCATGTGCCTGTAATTACACCAGCACCTTTACCCTTCTAAACCAGAACTTGGTGGCAGAAATAGGTAAGGCGGCAGCACTTCCCTGGACGAATTCTTTCACAAGGAGTTCTATGGTACTACTGCCACTTTATTATAGGGGTGCGTTATTTACCTGTTAATGACCCTGTGGATGTTCTCGGCGTTGTCCGAGTGCTCCTTTGGGTCGAGCCCCTCCTGTGACAAGATATCGGTGATCTGTTCGTTCACGTGGTCCTCATGCTGCAACTGCTTCATAGCTTCCCTGCAAAGTCAAAGAATCTTCATTCCATAATCAAGCAAATTACACTTTAAATCGTCATATAGATTAAGTCTATACTACCTCAGATCGAAATATTTTTTTTCCCGTATTAATACGGTTCATTTTGCTTGGTTCGAGCTGCAGGGCTTTATTTCAGAATTTTTTTTTTACGAACGGTTTTATAGCCATTTGAAAAATGTATACGCGTTCTATTCCTCTATTCCCACTAGTTCAGTTACCCAGTTCAGTTGACTGAACTAATGAGATTTATTTTCTTGTTTGTTTAGTTGAAAATAAAACAAGCTTTTACCCCTGGTTTGGTAGGGATTTTTTTATTTCCTCTGTTCCCACTAGTTCAGTTGTCCACCCTATCTCTACACTAGTTCTGTTGTCCAGACCAGTTAGTTGATTGAACTATAAAGAATTTCTTTCTTGTTTGCACAGTTGAAAATAAAACAAGCTTAAAATGAGGAAAATTTCATCAGTTCAGTCAACTGAACTGGACAATTGAACCACTGGCAATAGAGGGTTCTATTTAGTTCAGTTGATGTAAAAAAAATATCATTGCTATATTTAAAGTACCCGTTGAATACAGCGGTTTTCTTAAAATTTCCAGGTAAGTTTGTGTTTTATTCTATAGTGAAAATTTTTAGGAACCGTGTTGTGACACCATATAGTAATCAGTGTGTATCCTCATTTTTTCCAAACCGGAACGCAGTAATGCTTACATTACTGATTGGCGGCAGAAATAGATAAGGTGCCAATACTTCCATATATGAACTTTTTTTTTTGATAACTCTTTCACAAGGCTCTACTGCTACTAAAATAACCTTTCTTTAATATAAAGTTTTTGTTTCACTTATAGTTTTAAGCCTCGTGAATAGCAAATTTTGGATATCAATCGGAATTTTATTATAGAAGTATATCGTCGCCTTAGAGTAAAAACGTTTTTACTAATTTTTGTTCAAGAAAAACTTATAAACATCTTGCTTAAATATATTATTAAAGTAATATAGTATCTGAAAGAGGTATAATTTAAGTAATTAAAATGCTAACTACAAACATTATTGCGTTTACTACATTTTACACTACATTTTTATCTTCGTCCTCAAAAATTACATACAAATCACATGCGAGGTATTCACTAACATTGCTCGTTAAATAATACATTTAATAATTCAAAGAGTAGTAGGATGTATATGACTTGATACATCAAAAGCAATGAAGGATTTAATTTGCATAGACTTGTAACCTAAAACAGTGATGAACTTATAATTTTGGGTGAATGTAATTATGAGCATAACATCTGACCTGTTTCTTTCCCTCTCTCTCCAAAGCGGAATGTCGTTCAGTCTGTCCCTTTCGTCGTCGTCGAGCGGCGGCTGGGGCGCGAAGTAACCTCGCGAGCAGACTCGAGACAGCACCAGTCTGTGGATGCTGTGCTCCGTGCCTTTTTCTATTATCGTCTGTAATTTTAACATAGAGGCACATGAAGTACGTTGTCAAAAATTATGAGACCAAGTGACTGAACAAACAAATCATGTTGCTGGTGGTATGCGACACGCCTGTTCATGACAGTTGCAGTGCCACTCAGAGCTTTAAATTGCAAAGATCTGAAAGGCACTGCCACTAAGCCCGTAGCTCCGAGACTCAAGTTGAAAAGTGTGTGGCTGTAATTTCACCAGCACCCTTAGGGTGCGTTTCCACTGATGCGGAGCCGGGCGGAGTGGAGTGAAGCGGATCGTGTATTGGCCAATCATAGTGCTCGAAATCTCCACTCCGCATCAGTGGAAGCAGTCTAAGTGGAGCGGAGAGGACTTTCAAATAAAAAAATAATCGACTGTCATTTTTTTCCATTAATTGATTTGAATTTTCTATTATCACAGGGTTGTCCCCTAAAACGTGGACGCTAAAACTGAGTGAGTATAATTGCAGACAACCACACAGATTACCTCGTCTCAAACTAACGGGAATTCCCTGTACTATTGAGTACCATAGCAACGGATTCACCCAGAACTAATTTAGAAAAGTACATTCCCCAATTTGATCCTACCGGGAAACGAACCTGGGACTTTCTCATCCTGCACGCACAGTACACATCAAAAGTGTTTAGGAATCAAGCATGTTTTTGTCAATGACTGAAAAATCAAGTCCTTTTTACTAAATTTTTTTCAACATCAAGGATTTTGTTCGTCAGTTTGATAATTTAACAAACAAAAATATAATGATATTTTTATTTTACTTTAACAGGGTATTATAATTATTAAACAAAGATCGAACACCTAGAATTTGTTTTTTTTACTCGAACCAGCGTCTCTCGGCAAACCGTGGCAGACGGTATGCTATGGGAAATTTCGTGAGGGCCACTGCTTAGTTGGCATAGCGTCTGTCACAGTTTGCCGGGAGACATTGATTCCAGTGTATGAAGTGATTTTTTTTTCTGAGTGTTTAAGTGTCTAAGGAATTTTACAAAAAACAATTGAATATCATAGTGGTGAAACCTCAAACACAGGGTAATCAAATATTCAAAAAGACAACAAATTATAAAATATAATTCACCACCATAGGCAATATACGCTTTCAATCGTAACTCTGATAACAACTGTGTATCCATATGTATGTGAAAGTATGTCTAGCATGGTTATTTCAAAACATAAATTGTAAGTCTAAGCAACAGCATTGTAAAAACGCGAATTTGTTCTTATATACGTATGTAATGTATCCGACGCTCCTTCGTTATAGTAAGCTTATTTGTCTAGTATTTCTCATTGTCAGTGAATGTTTGTATTCTGTTTTGAGAAATAAATGTCTTAAACCATAGTACCTTGAGCCCTAGACACTTTTGATGTGTGTATTTTGGTACCATATACCTCGAAAAACCGCAAGGTCTCCAAGGAGAGCTCGTAGTTATCGGTGAGGCAGTTGGAGATGAGCGTATGTAACAACGGCCACTCCGCCACCTCACCCTCACCAACCAGCCAGTTGGAAAACTCTGCCACAGAAAAAAACATTTTAGCACCAAATGGAGTTATCACACACTTAGATACATGCATCAATATAGTTATAAGGCACTCCTTACGTACAAAACTACTCATCTATCTCATTCTTCAACGAAAACTCGGTTACCTATTGTATTTTATTGCATGACACCACTAGAATTACTTTAAAATCCAACTTTCACTTCCTAGATTCCATTTCCGGAAATTCGGAATTCGAAAAAAGTAATGAATCTGGTGGTTTTAATATTTGGAACACCTTTTTCCGACCATTGGTTATCACGCTTACAAAGCATCGTCTTACGCCAGAAATAGCCTTATGTCCATGAAATAAGAGCGACAATGATGTCGCGCGAATCGCTCCTGCTTGGACTTATACAAAACCAATTTGTGGTTTTCTTGGGCCCTTGTTAATAAACCGCTAAAAATTAAACTACGAAATGCTTTACTTATTTTATTGGATAATGAATTTTTAACCGGCTTCAAAAAAGGAGGCGGTTCTCAATTAGGCTGCTTTTCTTTATGTGTGTTTCTACAGCATTTGTGAACCGATTTGGAGGATTCTTTTTTTGTTAGAAAGAGGATACTCCAGTATTGGTCCCATTTAAATTTCAAGAAAATATTCCACCTCTAATGATGGCAAACTAGGGGATGAATCCGGTTTCGCGCCGTTTCCGGTATATGTAATTCCACGAACTTTTGAAATATGTTTTTTTATTTTAAAAATTAATAATTATTAGAGAGAAATATCTTTCAAAGTAATTGTCATTTAATTTTTATTGGACGTCGTATTTGTTTAGTGAATATTACTTTGTTTTATATATTATTGTTTAAAATATTAGCGACGATCTTATGATGTTTTCTCTTCGCATTGTATTTGAATTTCTGATATTGTGCAAGTTACAAGGATTTTTGTAAAGATAAAATTCAACTAATATATTATTATTATTAAGTATGTTTTTCTTTTATCAGCCAGTTGACTGATTTTAACAATATTTAAGGCCAAAACTCATGAAGTATGGTGTGTATCTGTTTTTTTCGTCTATTCGTCATCTTCTAAGAAAACGAAGTTTCTGACAATTCAGCGTGCACTTAAAATTACACATTTCTGATTATTAATTAGCTCAAATCCCAAACGATTTTGGTAAACAAAAATTAAACTTCCTATTTTATTATTAAAATTAAATTTTTATTTTACGTCAATTCAAAACTGCAGAACTAAAATGTGTGTTTTTCATTGATGCCGAATGTCAAGTGACGGGACGAAGAAGTCTTGCGCCTGGTGGGAACTGACACGCCTGTCCACAACCACTCAAGAGTTTTTAATCGCACTGCCTTAGGGGCACTGCCACTGTACCCGTCACACTGAGACATATGTTACCAAGTCCCATGTCCCTATAATTTCACAAGCAGCCTGTGACGATGTGACGCCTTCCATCGTCATCCCACCAAGGAATCAGAGAAGGTGGTAAAAAATCACGTTTTTCAAATTTTGAATCTTTCTTTAATTCCTTTGCCTCGCCATTCTAATTTTGTTTCGCTCCGTCGCCACTCACTGCTCAATCTCTAAAATCTGATTTTGACTCTTTTACCAGTTCTCAATCTAAACCATATGCCGATTGTAATGCTAATCTAACCTAGTAATATTGTATAACTCGGCCCTTTCGGGTTAAATCTGTCTCGCGTTTTTAGTGCTTAAGTAGGGAGTGTTTTGTAGCATTGTAGCTGTTTATTTATCCATTTCTTGTTACAACCTTCTTCTTTTGACTTTACTTAAGGAATTAATTTATGTGGACCAAAGTATCCTATTTTATTGCCGTGATCCTGGTCACGGCACATTAGCGGTTTACAACACCGACGACGCTGCAGTACCCTTTTTTTTTTTTTTGTCGCGACTACATTACTTCCACGTAGACTGAGGAGACAGTGGAGCACATCAGACTAAAAGCCAAATACACCCTGAGGGTCTAGCGGTTGGAGTCCCGCCACAACGTAAATTTTAATTCTATTGTGGTGAGAGTGCCGACAGAACATCTGTCGGCCTTCATGAAGGAAGAGTTTTGGCTGAAGGGTGTCATATATCGACCCCTCCCACGTAAAGTATCGTATGTCAAAATGGCCAAGTTTACCGGGGAGCCTTTTAAAGTTCTGAATTCACTGAAATAAGCATAACACGTGACTTTAGATTTCTCACTTTTATTCGGCAAATCTCGTTACACATGTTGAGTATCATAAAATCCTAAATATCGGTTATAAGATCTATTAGATGATCACTCTAGGTGAGTAACAAGCCTTGCGGAATGAAAAGGAGAACTTTAAAACACTCCCCTGTAAACTTGGCAATTTCGACATACGATACTTTACGTAGGAGGCGTCGAATCGGCGATTCCGCGGCCGGTTACCTGACACCAGATTGCGCCACACGTCGCCGACAAGTGGAATACGTGCAGATTAGTTGTTTAGTTTGTCATATTATATTGTATGTATGTTAGTCCTTAAGGTATATATATATAATATATATATATATATATATATATATATATATTCATGTAATATGTCATGTGGCCTGAAATAAATGTGTAAATAACAAAATAACGTCTGGCTCTCCCTGGGCAACAATTCGAGACTACCTTATACCGATTGGCAAAACAAAAGCAAGGCGGTTAGTAGTGACGTGGGCAGTGTGGCGATAATAATAGCGTATGTCGATACGATAAGAAGAACAAGATTTGTATAGTTAGTAATTATCGAAATTGAGGTAGTTAATTTACCTGAAGCACGAACGTTTTCTTAATATGGACATACCCATTTCGTTATCAATGCGTATACAATTTCGGATGCGTTAACTTAATTCACCTGAATTAGTTCACCTAGATGCATTAAGTACACTTTTAGAAAACTTAAATCAAAAACACTCATCAACCTATTTGTATGGCCCAGTGCTGAGTAGTCTCTTCTCATGCGAGGGTTTAGGCCATAGCTTGCCATGCTAGTCCATGCGGGTTGGGGACTGCATTGTGAACCTTCTTCGACATGTAGGTTTCATCACGAAGTTTTTCGTTACCGTATCTGCACCATGTAACGAGTAGAATCCTGACGTCCTCAAATATCGTGGTGAATACAGTTTACTTTTCTGTTTGTCTAATGCACCCAGATGATTTAAGTTTACTAAAAGTGTACTTAATGCACCTAGGTGAATTAATTCAGGTGAATTAAGTTAACGCACCCAACATTTCTGTTTACTGTTTATTGTCTAAACATTTCAATATACAGGGTTGTCTCATGTTTATTTTTTAAATGGCTAAAGTATTTAAATAAGTAAGTATCTATAGAAACAAAACTACAACATTCTGTTTTGAGACAATAATTTGTAACATTAATTAAGACTCGATACTACCCCAGTTCGAATTCATATTCAAAACACTTATTTCAGAATTATTTTTTTATTATTAATGAAATGAATGCCATTTGAAAAGTGCATGTAGTATAAAGTATACGTGTTCTGTTTAGTTCGGTTGACATTAAAAAATCATAAGTATATAGTGGTTTTCTTGTAAAATTTTGAGGTAAGTTTGTGTTTTTTTTCCATCGCGAAAATATTTAGGAACCTTGTTTTCACACCTCACGTTCGTTATGCGAAATCAACCAAAGCCATTGGTGGTTGTATCTCTCTCTTTTAAAAGGAAACGATAATTTGTCACCAATATACTCAAATTTCAAATACAATCAGTGCCGAAAAGTCCCGAGATTTGTGGGTGAATATGTCCACGTTATCCTTCAGTTTAGCTAAATTAACTTCCCTCAATTCTGATCACTAGTAATCAGTGTTCAAAGTACCGTTGATGAGGTCCGGCGAGTCGACGACCTTGAGGCACTTGGTAAGCACGGCCGTGACGACAGCAGCGTGGTGGGCGTCCGTCAGTCCGGTCTCTGCCGCGCTCTCCAGGAAGCTCTGTCGAAATGTGCGGGACAGGTGCGCCGCTATCGTCGGATGACACTCCTGTTATGACAATAAGTAGTACATTGTGTTAACGGCGGTAAATAAGAAATTACGAACGAGACTCTATTAGAAGCCCGAAGTCGAAGACTAAGGGCTTTCGGAGTCGAGGTTCGAAATTCCCCGTGAAATGTATAATATTTTTCATCACACTTGCACGTAAATAGTATGATGGCATAGCAAGCTAACTTGACTGTAATGCCCCAAATAAAACACCGGGGCTATTATAGTCAAGTTAGAGTGCGTGTGATAGCATTTGATAGCATTTTTATTTTGGCATTTGATAGCATTTTTATTTTGGCATTAATTAACGCGATCTACAAATTCTGCGTAAAATTTATCTATAAGTTGGCACTTGGTTCCTCGTAAAAAATATAGATGTCTCTGTAAATCAGTCTGCTTTGCAACAGATTTTGTAAAACATTAATTTTATAAAATACATAATATCAGTTCATTATTATGGTTTCATAATTCTTATTTGAATTTTAATTGACTGTTTGAAATAATACATCACAATTTGCCTATAACAATTACACAATTGCATTTTGAAAAGTTCCGTTTTCGTTCAACTTTTTATGGACTATTATGTTATGGTTTCTAAAATTAATGATAATTAGCTAAACTAGACGACTGCGAATCTTGTATAATTATTATACTAAATATAGTATTCACGAAGATTATCTTTACAACTTTGTAATGTATAACATTTTAAATTAATGTTCAACCAAGTGAGTCAAACAATACTGCTCTGTGATTGGCTGATATTTTGGTACATAAAATTGATGATATTTGCTAAATTAAAACATTTACGAGGTTTATATAATAGTTACAATTCTTTAAATATGTTTTAACAACTTATTAGGTAAACGTTTTAATTATCTTCAGCACGGTACAAATGTAAACGACTACTGTTTTGTGATTGGCCAAAATAGTGTGTGTATGAGTAAATTTTCAAAGGGGGTTTTGAAGGGTATAAAAAGGAATGTAAGGCTGGGGTGGCTCATTATAAAAAGTGCCGAACCCTGAACCAGGAAAAGTTAAGTACCTTTTTTGTAACTAGTTTTACTGCTTTGCTACTGTGTAATTGTGTTGTGTAAATAGGACCAATGTCCCTAGGCTTTGGTATAGATTCAGTACCTAAACGTATGAAATCCGTTATAAATACTTATTGTTTTCACTCGTCCATTTTAATTAGTTTTTTTTAGCATTTTGCTATAATTTTGTATTAACTAGCACCTTAAAACATGTCAGTGCTTAAAACTAATCCTTGAGTTGAAGGAATAGTGCTATTAGTTTCATTTGCCTATCCTGTTATTTTTAAATCACTTGTAACATTTTTTTTTTGTTAGTTTCATGCTGGCATAATTGATTAAAACTGAATTATGTTTCTGGTAGTGATTCTGGTTTTAATTACTTAGGTTTACTGTTATACTGTTAATTGACATTTTGTTTTACCCTATATTAAAATAAAACTTGGTTTACTATAACTCTGCTTTTGAATTCTTTAGATAATTGACTTCCCTTTATAATAGAGTTTAGTACTTTAGTAATAACTCCGGGATCTTCTAACACGTGCAATCACATAGGTGCAAGTGTGTACCAATGTGTGTGGCCAATGTGTACGCTTCTAAAATAAGACTCCGGTTGATATACTAAATTTATTGGTTACGAGGCTTCAAATTATTGTGAAACAAAAACGTTTTTAAAAGCTATTATCAGACAGTTGCAGCTTCAAAATTTTTCTTATATATTAAAATACACAATGTACAATTTGTGACTGTGAAGAAGCATTCTACGCGATCACTATAAACTCATGGTAGAGGTTAGCAGAGATTGACAGCACGTAAACTAGCAAAAAGACCAGAGCAGAGGTCTAATTAGAAAGCCGTGACTTAAAGTTAAAGAGCACTAATACTCCCTAAGGTGGTTTATCAAGTCAAAATGAATTCAACAAAAATATACTATACTACAGTGTTACAGTGGCACAGAACAAGTAAAATCTTACCTTCATTAACGTATCGCAATAGTCCAACCATGAAAAGAAACTGGTTAGTTCTCTGTAGCCGTGGAATTTGCTGTACGATTTGTCACCGAAATCTTGAGCCACGTACCTGTAATAATAATAATAATAATAATTGATTACTTCAGAATGTCTCCATATCGTGTTAGTAACAATTATAACCTTATGCCTAAGTGAGTAGCAGTAGAGCTCCTTGTGAAAGGGTTCATCCAGGGAAGTACCTATTTCTGCCACCAAGCAGTAATGTCAGCATTACTGTGTTCCGGTTTTGAAGGGTAAGGGTGCTGGTTAAATTACAGGCACATTGGACTTGTCAACTTATGTCTCAGGGTGACGGGCGCAGTGGTAGTGCCCTTCAGATCTTTGCAATATAAAGCTCTGAGTGGCACTGTAAATGCTATGGATAGGCTTACCATCAGGCGCACGCCTTGTTCGTCCCGTCACATAATGTTGTAAAAAAATATATATAAATATAAATATATCCCTTCTCGCTGACATGTGAAGGGCTTCTTATGCTTAAAGAAATTTAAATTTCTTATTATTACTTATTTTAAATTTAATTTTATAACAAGATATAGAGATTTTAGGTTTTCCCGATTGTTACACATAGGAAATGAAACTACTTTTCCAGATTTAAATCAGTCAACCGTGACCATGGGACCTGTAAAGGACCCGAAACGTTGGTTTGTTTTAAAAACAAATATACGCGATCTAAATCCGGAAAAATTGTTTCATTTCCAAGATATAGAGAATTATAACACGCGTGAACAATAGCATATTTGTAGAAGGCGAAATCGCTATTGCGAAAAATTTTTCAGGGGGGCCACGTTTTAGGTTTTCGCGGTTGTTTTAAAATAATAGGGGTTAAAGTATGAAATTGCCGATTTGTACTGAAAATCTAAATTGTTTATTTTTTAAATTTTTAACAAATTTAATAATCAAAATAGTTGCCATTATTATCTATACATTGCTGCCATCTAAT